AAAAAATTCATATATCCTTCTTCTCTACAATTTCCTTCATCCTCTATATCTTTAGAATGAATAGATGGATCACTAAATAGATTTTATTTACCTTATAGATCTGTAATAATCATATTTTTATTAGTTTTTACATAAGTGAAATGCGAGAAAGTAGTAAAATTATATTATTCAAGATAAAATGAACCATTGTTACTATATTTCTACCAAGGAATTTCCAAATCTATATAGCTTTCTCCATAAATTATTTTTGTTCCAAAAAATGGGATATCAAATTTATATAAATAAGGAGTCGCGTAATAAATGGGAAAAAAATTTCCTTTATTTTAGTAGCATTATTAATTAAAATAATGAGATAATTATTTGGCAATAAGTTATTATAAATACCTTGTTTTAGCATAATCTTTGGCCCTAGCTTACAATTCTTCTGCAATTGGTTATTCACTATTTAAATTTTTTATGATAAACCTTGGAATCTTCAGTACTACATAAACATTATTTTTTTAATCAAAAGCTTTGAATACTTAAACATTTTATCCTTTTTCATTAAATTAAATTTAAAGTTCTGATTTTTCAATTTATAATAAAGTTCGTTTTTTTGAGACCTTGGTTGATTACATTTATGCTTTGAATTATGTATAGTAAGAACCATTTCTTTAATCAAATTTGAAATTCATTTGTTGTTATTTTCTATATTTAGCCTCTCTAAATATATAATGATTATCATCTTCAAATTTAGTTGATTTATTCATAGTTGCAGATAATGAAAATAGTACATAATCAGCAAATTTATTTTCAGTGATTCTAGCACTTGAAAAGTTTTGTATCTAGTTTTTTAGAATAGTTTCCATTTTATCAGTATATTACTTTATTGATATAAAAGAAAAAAAAAATCTTTTTTTTTTCTGGATAAATTTCTATATTTTTTCTTCTAAATCATTTGTATCTGGTCTAGTATCTATAACTAAATCATGATATTTTTTTCCATGACAGGGTGCATCAGTTATAACAAATAATTATAAAATGCTATCAGGGTTTTTAGAAATATTTAATTTTGATGCTACTTCTAAAGCTCCAATTAAATCTTCTGGAATATCTTCTCCACCTCTAGGTTCAAATTTATCTATAAATTTTTCTATTTCCTCTGGTTATACTGTAAAATCATGATACCAGATATGATTAGGACCATCACTAAAATCTCTATAACAAACAGCAGCTATTCTAACACAAGATGAAACAGATATTTTTTTTGTAAATTCTTTGATTATAAATTTTATGTTTTATTTAGCTGCATTTAACCATTCTTCCATACTTATTGTACAATCTATTACAAAAATAATGTCCACTTAAGGTCTAAGTTCTATTTAATTAACAATTGTAGAAAGTTAACTTGATTCAATAAAAACTTACAATTTTTTGTTTTATATTTGTTTAGTATAATCTTATTTTTGTTAATCAAATTTTATACAACTCTTTGCTACCATTTATTATTATTAATAAAGTTGATTATCTTTCATATTTTCCCATTTTAGATGGGGCTTTAAACATCTATTTTATAACATAGGACAGATTCCTTTAAAATTCTTTATGCAATAGTTATCAAAATTATATTTTTTTGCTTAACAATCACAATTATTTTAATCACAAAATTATTCTGGATTTAAACCATTTATTGAATATTCTTTATATACAATGTCTCTAAGCTTGTCCCAAGTTAATTTATGAATTAAATTTGTTTCTGCTTTGCAATTTTTTTTTTTATTCAAACATAATAGACAAACATTTCTCAACCAAGGAGGATGTTCATACCTACACTTGATTGATTCACATTTTTTAGGACATAAATTATATTACCTAATTCCATTTATAGGATGTTATTAAATTTTGTCTTATAACTAATCTAAACTAAAGTGTTGTAATTCACATAAATTTTAATTTTCACATAAACCATGCAAATATCCGATACAAGCTCCTGCAAAAGCCCTAGGATGGACCTTCTAACAGAATTAATCAAGACATTATAAATTTTATATACAAATTTATTGTATATCATCTTCTTCTAAGAATTACATTTGTGAATTTTAAATTAATAACTTTCTTAAATAGTTTGCTAATAATTTAAATCATGATTATTATATGACCATCTGCAAACCAGTATAGTATGATTTTGTTTGTTATTAAACAGCCCTTGCATCAATCTCAGAAATATTCATTATGCTTGTACCTCAAAAATAATTTTTTATATTTTTATAAATTAAAGTAAAATCAATCATTATTACACCATTATTAATATATTTTGAGGCTTTTTCACTATTTACTTCGTTCTTTTCTTTTATTAATATGATAATTCTTTAAGGATTAAAGCAAAATTTAAATTATAAAATTAATTCTATTAGCATTTAATCAATAGCCAAAGATGATCAAAATTGCCTTTCTTTTAAATTTATTATATAAATTTAATCTATTTTCTCAATTTTCCAACTATTATTTAGAAATTTTCAACTTACTTTAATAATATTTTGCTTGTAATTATATTTCTAAATAGAAAAAAGAAATTAAACAATAATTTTATTGAAAAATCACAGATTATGTTGCAAATTTTAATAAACATTCTAAATCCTTAAGTTGATAAATAAATTCTATTTGAAAGAAACACAAAGTCTTTTTATAAATCACATTATTTCATACCATATAAAATCCTTTTATTTTTTTATCATTTATTTAAAAATAAAAGTATAGATTTATTACATTTTATAAAAGTCGATTAATCAAGATTGAAAAAAATATTATTTTATTGATAAATTAAGGTTGAATTAAAAATTTTATATTATTGTAATATTTTTATTAATAACTTTTGTAAAAATAAATAAATATTTTA